GGGTATAATACCATCTGGTTAAAACTTTAAGGGCAGTCTCATGAACAGAAAGATCTAGAACACTTACATATGTTATCCACCATGGAATCCCAATCCTCATCTGAAAAAATTATACCACTATCCTCCTCCCATTTTTGTCTATATAAAGGGGGTGTAGGAGAAAGACAGATCAAAAAGTGGTGACAAAGATCAGAAATAAGACCCCTACCCCTAGGAGAGTCACGGCTGATACGTTCAAAAAATTAAATCGGAGAAGAGGGTATAAGGCCAAAATGTGAATTAAAAAAATGTCTAATCTGTCGGTAACGATGGTACTCAGGAAGATGAACATCAAAAAACATGCGCAGCATATCATAATATAAGATCCTCCTCTTTGAAAATCAGATAATCTAATAAAATATCGATCATACCACCAACAAAACGTTTGAGCGGAAGAAAAAGCTGCAACAAAAGTAGGATCACCAAAAAATTAAACACCTGGAGACCAGATTTAATTTGAATTTGTATTTGGACCAAAGTGTCAGTGAATGGGTCACTATGGAGTTATGACAAGTAAGCGATCGAGGGGAGATTTTGGACCACAAAATACCCGGTAAGTAGAATGGGCGTATAGACTGAGATTCAAACTTGATCCACTGGATCTGAGAGTTAACGGTTGCCCATTGTGATAGTTGCGCAAAACAAGCTGAGAGATAATATAGCCAAAGATTGGAAAGACCGAGACCTCCAGTCCGTTGTGAGCGGTACAAAACAGATGAAGTAAAACGTAGGTGTTTATTACCCCAGATAAAGTTATTAATAGTCCGCTGAAAGTGATTAAAAACGTTTTCGAGACCAGAACTGGAAGTGCTCTAAAGAGATAAAGTAGTTTAGGCAAAATATTCATTTTAATTGCAGTGACTCTACCCAGAAAGGAAATAGGATAACCATGCCAAATCTTCAATAGAGTAGAGAGACGTGATACACATGGTGGATAATTAGCAGCAAACATATCCGAGTATCTAGGAGTGAGATTAATACCCAAATAGGAAATCCGATCTGTGACCCAACGAAATGGAAAAGAGCTACGGAGAGATGCACTTAGGGAATCAGGAACATTAACAGGCATAATCACTGATTTGGTAAAATTAACAGTAAGACCTGACGCTATAGCAAAATCGTTCAATACGGCACATAAATTAGGTAATGAAGTTAACGGATTGGTAAGGAAAAGCATAACATCATCAGCATACATGCATATTTTAAAAGGTGAAACTAATAATGGGTAGCCAGAAATATCCGAATGTGATCTGATTGCTATTGCCAAAGGTTCCAACACCAGCGCAAATAAAAGGGGTGAGAGAGGACAGCCCTGACTGGTACCTCTACCCAATGTAAAAAAATCTGAATTACAGCCAGGAAGCCTTATTCTCGTTTTAGGAGAGTCGTATAGGGTGTGTATACCAGCCAAAAACACATTACTGAAGCCCATTTTCGGCAGCAAGGAAAACAAATAAGGCCAAAGAAAACTGTCAAAGGCCTTGTTTATGTCCAGACTCATCAACAGAACCTCTTTAGAATGTAAATTGGCATCTTGAATAACATTTAGTGTGAGGCGAATGTTATCGGGTTTTATTCCAGACAGATTTATTACTGATTGGTCCGGAGAGACCAAAGAAGAGATAATAGGGGCCAACCTGTCTGCCAAAATACAGCTAAATATTTTCAAATCGTTATTCATTACTGAGATTGGTCTATAGTTTTGTGGTAAATGGTGGTCTCTGTGGCTTGGGTAGTAAAGACATATTAGCCAATAGCATCTCCTCAGGCAACTTACCCCCCTGCAAAACATCATTAAATAAGGTTATCAAATAGGGAGCCAAAGTAGAGGCAAAATGTTTATAATATCTAGCGGTGAATCCGTCAGGACCCGGTGCAGTAGAACCTTTTAGCGCGCTAATCGCACAAGTTATTTCCTCCAAAGTACAGGGGGCATTAAGAGAAGCTATCTGAGAGGGTGTGAGAGCAGGGAGGGGTATAGAATCCAACCATGAGTTGGATGGTGGAACAGAATTCGACTGTGGGGGAGCTAATAGATTAGAATAAAAATTTTCAAAAATACCCAATACTTCTTGAGGTAGAGATGAAATGGCACCCGAGTTAGTACGTAACTTATAAATATGTGGAGGGTGCAGAGAGTGATTCAATTTCCTTGCAAACAGAGTGGATGCTGAGTTGCTATGCAACAAGAACGAGGCCTTCGACCAGCGGAGAGCTTTTTCAGTCTTTTGAGAAAGCAGAATATTCAATTCTAAGCGTTTTTGAGATAACGGTTTATTAAGAAGAGATGGATTAGCAATATGACTTCTATAATGTGCTTCTAATTCTCGGGTAATTTGTAGAATTTTCTGTCATCGTTTTCTATTTCTGGATGAAGCCATAGAGATAAGGCGGCCACGTAGGACCGCCTTATGAGCAACCCATAGTGTGGCAGGAGATATATCAGGAGTAGAGTTAGACTGAAAATGCTCCTGAATGGATGTAACCACCTCTTGGCGAGAATTAATATCAGTAAGCATAGAATCATTAAGTCTCCAAGAGTAGGGGGTAGGTGCCAATCCTATAAACGTGATAGATAAGGCTATAATGTTGTGATCCGATCAGGGGCTCAAGTGAGGCATAAGAGTCATGTGGGTGAGAATAAAATGAATAATCCCTGGCTCCCGCATTATGCGCTCTCCAGGTGTCCACCAACTGGAGGGCATCTAGTTTTTTAGTAAGGGATTTTTGGAAAGTTTGGGAAGATTGTGAGGAGGAGCTTCGGTCCAAAAGAGGGTTTGCTACCAGGTTAAAATCACCACCCACCAATAGACGGGGGGACAAAAACCTATCAAGAATACCAAAAAATTTAGAAAAAAAGGAAGCTTGTGCCAAATTCGGTGCATAGATATTAGCAATCGTAAGTTCACGACCCGAAAGGGTGCCTTTAAGAATGATAAACCTACTGTCCGGATCACGATATACATGTTGAACCTCAAAGGGGAATGAATTATGTAGAAAAATGGCTACTCCTCTACTTTTATTAGAGGAATGCAAGGTATAATACACCTGCATATAGGATTTATGAAAATATGTCTGATGTTTTGCACCTGCAAAATGTGTTTCCTGTAGTAAAATAATTTTAGCCCCTAGTCGCTTATATTGAAGAAAGGCTGTTTTGCACTTATTTGGTGAATTGAAACCCTGGACATTATGCAAAATACATTGAATTACCATAGTATACAAAAATTATAGCCATCAGCATAAATATACACATTGAAAAGACATCTCCTAGAATTATTTGGCTAGACATAAAAACCTGTAAATCCACATCAGACATAGTTATAGTCAGTACCAATCTAGGGGACATTTAGACCCCAATATGGGTGTCGTGACATCCACAAACCGGTACAAAACCAATATCACGTACTAAAGCTTTGAAAAGAGAAAAGAAAAAAAGAAATAGGTGAAGCTTTAATAGCTCCTACAAATAAGATAGCTAAGAAACATGGATCAGGTGGGCAATTTGCCATACCTGAAAAATCAGAAAATTCAAACATCAAAAGGGCCAAATTGGCCTAAACCCTGTTTCCGTAAAACATGGAAAATGAAGCCGTCACCCCACAATCGGGAGGTGACACCTCCGGTCATGTCAGGCGGCAGGGTGGGGTAACGTGTTCAAGTTTTGAAACCATGAACTAATGGGCGGTATTGGGAAAGTCCAAAGACCCTTGTTAGACTTTAACACATCCAGATATCTATGAGAAAGCAAACATAATTTTCAGAAACATAGAAATATCTTAGCAGTGACCACAAAAATTCACATCCTAAGGATGTATGAGATACAAATTAGCAAAATCCCTGTATCCAAGTTCCTGTCACAGTCATAATAAACTGTGGATCAGGTGGATTAAATGCCTTCTGTGAAAAAATAGAAAAATATATTATCAAAGGGCCAAACGGGCCCAAACTCTGCCACCTTGAAACACGGGAAATGGAGATGTCACCCCGCGACATCTCCAACCATGCTAGATGGCAGGGCGGGGTCACCGTCAGAGATTTCGATGAACATATGGGCGGCAAAAAGAGGATCCGAAGACCCATTCTGGATTTTCGCACGTCCAAATAACTAAATGTTAGATCGAAAATAATGATATATGAACATGTAACAATTTTCATCAAAATAATGGGTAATATGCAAGTGGGCAAGGTCTTTTCAACCCGGTTCTTGTCGGACTCTCCTATCTCTTCGTGGAGATGGAGTATGCCAAATGGGAGAGACTCGAGGGGTGGAAGGTGGACGTTGAGGTGATGGAGCATCCGCCAGGCCCAATTTGGCCAAGATCTCTCTACCTTCGGGAAGGGATGTGGCTATGTATGTGCTCCCATTATGTGGAACTATCAGCTTAAAAGGAAAGCCCCATTTATAGCGGATATGAGCTGAGAAAAGGGCAGTTGTAATTTCCTTAATTTTTCTACGTTTTTCCAACGTAGCTGGAGAAACATCTGAAAAGATTTGTAAAACCGAACCTACAAAGGTGATCATTGGGGTATTGCGAGCAGCTCTAAGTATGTCTTTTTTGGTCAGGAAATCCTTCATACATATAATAATGTCCCTAGGCGGTTTATCGTTAGGAGTAGAGATGAGCGAAGTATTCAAAAATTCGATTCGACTGATTCGGCGAATTCGTGGAAAAATTTCGATTCGAATCGAATATATTCGCTGCGAATTTAACTTATAAAAGGGTGTTTCTAGGCTTCAGAGAGCCTTTATATTAGTGCAGAACACTGTACCTTTAATTTAAATGCCCTTGGAGTCTGCTGGGGAAGAGAAATAATACTGACAGTCAGTATGACATGCAGATGAGTGCCGTCGATCTTAGAATCACCGCACACTTCACTCATTTGGGCAGTCACGGGGCCAAAACCAGAGTGTGGAGCCACAGTGTGGCGGTGGAGGCAGCAGCAATGGGAGGCCATACAGCACCCTATGACAAAAATGGAAACCACCAGCAGTGTGAGGAGACCTGAAAGTGGCACATGGCAGAGTGTGGCGATGGAGACAGCAGCAATGGGAGGCCGTACAGGGACCCATGACACACTATGGACCTGGCAGCAGCATGAGGAGGCGGTACAGGGGCCCATGACAGATTACGGGCCTGGCAGCAGCATGAGGAGTCGGTACGGGGGCCCATGGCAGATTAGGGGCCTGGCAGCAGTATGGGATGCCCGTAATCTGCCAGCACCCTATGACAAAAAATGGAACACACCAGCAGTGTGAGGAGACCTGAAAGTGGCACATGGCAGAGTGTGGCGATGGAGACAGCAGCAATGGGAGGCCGTACAGGGACCCATGAGAGACTCTGGACTTGGCAGCAGCATGAGGAGGCGGTATAGGGGCCCATGGCAGATTAGGGGCCTGGCAGCAGCTATGGGAGGCCCGTAATCTGCCAGCACCCTATGACAAAAAATGGAACACACCAGCAGTGTGAGGAGACCTGAAAGTGGCACATGTTTGGGGCATGATTCATGGCGGATTTAGTCAGTTGTGTCAGGAACTGGTGGTTTGAAATCCAGACTAATCCACGCCTGATTCATTTTTCACAAACGTGAGTCTCTCCACACTTTGGGTGGACAGTCGTGTCCTCCGCGGAGTTGCAATACCTCCTGCCGCACTAAACACGCGCTCCGATGCCACGCTACTGGCCGGGCATGACAGCCTTTCAAGGGCAAAATTCAGCTAGTTGGGGCCAAAAGTCAAGTTTCGTTGCCCAGTAGTCAAGGGGATTGTCTACCTCGGTTGGCAGGGTGCTGTCCAAGTAGGCCCAAGCCTGTTGTTTGAGGTCCTGCTCCAGGTCCACCTGATGCTGCTGCTGCTGCGGCTGGTTAGTAGTTTCCTCACTGCGCTGGTGAAGAAAGCTACTCATCATCGACTGCAGACTGAGGCAGCTGCTGCTGGTGGAGCTGCAAGGTGGGACAGCCAAAAGTCATCCCTCTGTTCAGTCTGATGGTTATTATTCGGCGTCGGTACGCAAGCAAGCGAGCATGCTATGGGCCATTTGTGCCAAGGAATAGCAAGGGACTCCCTGCCTCCATCTCCTGCAGCATACTGCCACGGTGCGTCTGGGTCCTCTGTCTCCTCTTCCTCCTTCCTCTACCAGATGCTCCTGCTCCTCCATCCTGTCCGCTGAGTGGAAAAACCACCATTTCACTCAATAATTCCTGAGCACCAATGTCTCCTCTACCGTCCTCCTCTTCTTCCTGTCCTGCCCCCACAGGGGTCATGTGGCGTTGAGATCTGTGCGCCACGTCTACCGCACCCTATGGACAAAAAATTGAACACACCAGCAGTGGTGAGGAGACCTGAAAGTGGCACATGGCATGAGACACTGTGGACCTGGCAGCAGCATGAGGAGGCGGTACAGGGGCCCATGGCAGATTAGGGGCTGGCAGCCAGCTATGGGAGGCCCGTAATCTGCCAGCACCCTATGTCAAAAAAATTGAACACACCAGCAGCAGTGTGAGGAGACCTGAAAGTGGCACATGGCAGAGTGTGGCGATGCGAGACAGCAGCAATGGGAGGCCGCCAATCAGGGACCATGAGAGACTCTGGACTTGGCAGCAGCATGAGGAGGCGGTATAGGGGCCCATGGCAGATTAGGGGCCTGGCAGCAGCTATGGGAGGCCCGTAATCTGCCAGCACCCCTATGTCAAAAAATTGAACACACCAAGCAGTGTGTGAGGAGACCTGAAAGTGGCACATGGCAGAGTGTGGCGATGGAGACAGCAGCAATGGGAGGCCGTACAGGGACCCATGACAGGACCTCTGGACTTGGCAGCAGCATGAGGAGGCGGTATAGGGGCCCCATGGCAGATTAGGGGCCTGGCAGCAGCTATAGGAGGCCCGTAATCTGCCAGCACCCTATGGACAAAAAATGGAACCCACCAGCAGTGTGAGGAGACCCTGAAAGTGGCACATGGCATGAGACACTGTGGACCTGGCAGCAGCACTGAGGAGGCGGTATAGGGGCCCATGGCAGATTTAGGGGCCTGGCAGCAGCTATGGGAGGCCCGTAATATCTGCCAGCACCCTATGTCAAAAAATTGAACACACAGCAGTCTTGTGTGAGGAGACCTGAAAGTGGCACATGGCAGAGTGTGGCGATGGAGACAGCAGCAATGGGAGGCCGTACAGGGACCCATTGACAGACTCTGGACTTGGCAGCAGCATGAAGAGGCGGTATAGGGGCCCATGGCAGATTAGGGGCCTGGCAGCAGCTATAGGAGGCCCGTAATCTGCCAGCACCCTATGACAAAAAATGGATAAACACCCAGCAGTGTGAGGAGACCTGAAAGTGGCACATGGCAGAGTGTGGCGAATGGAGACAGCAGCAATGGGAGACGGCCGTACAGGGACCCAAGAGAGACCTCTGGAACTTGGCAGCAGCATGAGGAGGCGGTATAGGGGCCCATGGGCAGATTAGGGGCCTGGCAGCAGCTATGGGAGGCCGTAATCTGCAGCACCCTATGTCAAAAATTCAACACACCAGCAGTGTGTGAGGAGACCTGAAAGTGGCACATGGCAGAGTGTGGCGATGGAGGACAGCAGCTAATGGGAGGCCGTACAGGGGACCCATGACAGACTCTGGACTTGGCAGCAGCATGAGGAGAGCGGTATAGGGGCCCATGGCAGATTAGGGGCCTGGCAGCAGCTATAGGAGGCCCGTATCTGGCCAGCCACCCTATGGACAAAAAATGGGAACACACCAGCAGTGTGAGGAGACCTGAAAGTGGCACATGGCATGAGACACTGTGGACCTGGCAGCAGCATGAGGAGGCGGTATAGGGGCCCATGCAGCATTAGGGGCCTGGCAGCAGCTATGGGAGGCCCGTAATCTGCCAGCACCCTATGTCAAAAAATTGAACACAACCCAGCAGTCGTGTGTGAGGAAGACCTGAAAAGTGAATCACATGGCAGAGTGTGGCGATTGGAGACAAGCAGCAATGGGAGGCCGTACAGGGACCCATGACCAGGACTCTGGACTTGGCGCAGCATGAAAGAGGCGGTTATAGGGGCCCATGGCAGATTAGGGGCATGCAGAAGCTATAGGAGGCCCTGTAATCTGCCAGACATATGGACAAAAAAATGGAACACACCAGCAGTGTGAGGGACCTGAAAGTGGCCACATGGCAGAGTGTGGCGATGGAGACAGCAGCAATGGCGAGCCGTTACAGGGACCATTTGAGAGCTTTGACTGGGCAGCAGCATGCGGAGGCGGGTAATAGGGGGCCATGGCAGAATAGGGGCCTGGCAGCAGCTATGGGAGGCCCGTACATCTGCCAGACACCCTATGTCAAAAAAATTCAACCACACCAGCCAGTGTGAGGAGACCTGAAAGTGGCACATGGCATGAGCCTGTGGACCGGGCAGCCCCAGAGGGGCGGAACAGGGGCCCAGGGGCAGATTAGGGGCCGGCAGCAGCTATAGGGGGCCCCCGTTAATTTTCCCAGCACCCTTGAAAAAAAAGGGAACACACCAGCCCAATTTTGTGAGGGACCTGAAATTTCACAGGCCCTGAGGACACTGTGGACCGGGCAGCAGCATAGGAGGGGGGTTTTACAGGGGCCCATGGAGATTAGGGGCCTGGCAGCAGTTTGGGGGGCCCGGGAATCTGCCAGAAACCCTATGTCAAAAAAATTTAAAACACACCAGCAGTTTTGGAGGAGACCTGAAATGGCACAGGGCATGAGAAAATTTTGTGGCCCCTGGCCCAGCAGCATGGGGAGGCCCGGTACGGGGGCCCCAGGGGCAGATTGGGGGGCCTGGCAGCAGTTTATGGGGAGGCCCGTAATCTCCCAGCACCCAAATGAAAAAAAAAGGGGAACACACCGCAGTGTGGGGTAAAACCAAAAAAAGTGGCCCAAGGGCCCAGGGGCTGATTCATGGCGGATTTATTTCAGTTGTGCCCGGAATGGTGGTTTAAAAATCCGATAACCACGCCTGATTTTTTTCAAAAAAAGTGAGCCCTCCCCACACTTTGGGTGGCCATCGTGCCCCCCCGCGGATTTAAAATTTAACCCCCTGCCGCACTAAAACACGCGCCCCCGATCCCCACCCCCCCCCCTTAAAACTTTTCCGGGCATAAACAGCCTTTAAAGGGGCCCAAATTTCAGCTAGTTGGGGCCAAAGGGTCAATTTTTCGTTCCCCAGTAGTCAAGGGGAAATTTCAAACCTGGGTTTTGGCGGGGTTTGCTGTCCAAGTGGGGCCCAAAGGGCCTTTTGGTTTGAGGCCCTTGGCCCCAAGGTCCCCTTTATTTGCTGTGCTGTTTGCGGCGGGGTTAGTATTTCCCCTCCCCCGGCGCTGGGAAGAAAGCTACTCCCATTCGACTGCAGACTGAGGCAGCCGCTGCTGCGGTGAGATACCATCTGCTTCCTACCACCCCACCCCTCCCTGCTGCCATGGCCAGCGGAACGCGAGCGCACAGAGGACCCAAAATGGTCTGAGGATGATGTGACGATTGTCGTCACAAAGGCAGCGGAGACCAACACTGGACTAACATAGGTGGATTTTTATAGTAGCAGTACTAATTTTGGCCTCCCTCTCAACAAGCATGTTGTGGGAGGAGAAAAAAGGCCACCATTTTTGGACCGGTTTAGCGAAGGTCCTCTAACAAGGTGGACAGCCAATACCAAAAGGTCAATCCCTCAGTCTGATTTGGTTAAACTTATTCTCGGCAAGTCGCTACGGCAAGCAAACCAGCATCGCGTCATTGCTATGAGGCCATATTGTGCCAATGAACATGCAGAGGGACACCCTGCCACTCCATCTCCACAGCAATAACTGCCACCGGTGCCGTCTGGGTCCTCCTGTCTCTCTTTCCTCCTCCTCCATCTGAAAACCCGAATGCTCCTGCTCCTCCACTCCTGTCCGCTGAGTGGAAAACCACCCATTTCACTCAATAATTTCCTGAGAACCAATGTCCTCCTCCCCTCCTCCTTTTCCCTTCCGGGCCTGCCCCCACGGGGTTTCATGTGGCGTTGAGATCTGGGGCCCCCAAAAAAACCAAAACCGCCCCCCTGACCACCCCATTGTTAACAGCATTTGTTCCAGGACGTGCAACAG